ATTTAATTTTTAACAATCTTTTTTTTTTTCCTTTTCTTTCCTAGCAAGAAAAATGAACGAAAAGACAAATAAGAAAAGGTAGCCACGAGAAGTTAGCAAGCTGTCAATAGAGATGTCATTACTAAATGAAACTGTGTTAGATTACCACCTCCCCTCTGACTCCCAACCTGCCCTCCTCTGGGCTCTTCTCATGCCCACTGTGAGAAAGGGAGAGAAGCTTGACAGATGTCCTGCCATCCAGGAATTTGCAGTCTGGTTGAGGACACAAGGTTTTTCTATTCAGAAGGTAGCCTGTGTAGTTTGGGTTTTCTGCTGAACGTAGGATGAGGGGTGCAGGAGCTAGTGGGGAAAGAGGTCATTGTGCATTGATTAGGGAGCAGATGTGGGGGTGTAAGTTGGCTTGCAGGAATAGTGAGAGGTGGGTATGTGAGGAACAAGAATGCAGATGCTGATAAGAAGGGGAAGAGTGGCCCCCAAAAGTCAGAAGTGGAAAGCAAAACGTAGGGTTGGCGAGCAGGGACTTGGCCAGTCTGATGCACCTCTAGAAAGAAAGCATCATGTTGGGAGTGAGGCTAGGCTGGGAAAGGCCTGGAGTGTGGAGTGCTGTTTGGTCTGTAGCTTGTGGGATGGGGATCTGCTGGAAGTGGTGCTTACTGCCTGAGGATGTGAAGACCCTATTCACCATGGGCATGGGCCTTGGGGTGTGTATGGGTCATGATGTGTGTCAACAGAATGGGAGTGGCTGGAGGCATGAGGCCAAAGCATCCCTCTGAAGTGAGGGAGGTGGAGGTGGAGAGTGGGAGAGAGGTGCAGATTGGGGCTGGCTACTGCCTGGGGGAAAACTCGGACTGTGAGGTGAAGGGAAGGGGTCAGGATGTCACGACATTAGAGCCATCTTCCACCAGGAAAGATGACCATGAAAGCAGCTCTAGATTTTACTGTGGCAATGGAGATATATGAATAAAAATACATCGGTTTCCAAATTTACTTCCTGTTCCCTTTCTTCCTGTTCAAAATAGTAATCGATGCTTTTTTTTTTTTTAAACAGATGTTCTCAATGTTTCAGCATATTGAGGGGTTGCAGAGTATGTGTGGGGCGGCAGCTGGTGATAACACCTCTTACTTTTTATTTTCTAGTGTGGGCTGGAATTAGAATCAGGATTTAGAAATGGGGAAGCCGTGGCTTGTGGTCCTGCATCCTGACATCTTACACTGCATCTCAGGTAGCAGTTGTCCCTATGAGTCAAAGTGGTTAACCCACTGGCAAATAGATAGCATTTTTATAATATATAAATTTTACCTGCTTATAAGGGGAAAACAAGAAAAATTCCCTTTCCTCCTAATTGCTCTCTAATAGCTTGGTCTATATTCAGTCAGTCTTTTTTTCCTTGGCAGATAACATTGATAACAACTAAAAAAACAATTTTTTTTTCCAGTGCTGGAGCTCAAACTCAGGGCCTTGCACATGCCAGGCAAATGCTATGCCACTGAGCTACAGTTCATCTCAATAATTCATTTTTATTGCAGGTTCTCTTTGTACAGACACTATTCTAAGTATTAACATACACAGCATAAATCTTTAGTCCATGCATCCACCCTGCGAGGCAGCCATGATTGTTTTCCCCATTTGACAGATAAGGAAACTGAGATACTGAGAAGTTAGGTAACTTGCTGGAGATGGCATAGGTAGTAGGAGGTAAAGCCAGGATGGAAATCCAAGCTGTGAAAGCCCCGATTCTCTGTTCTTAATTATGACTTCTTGAATGTATTTAATACACACACACACACACACACACACGTAGTCCTTACTTAAAAAGATAAAATAGTATTGCACAAGTTGTTGCACAATTTGCTTTTGTGTAAACATGAATAATGTGGATATTTTTCCATACTGGTATATATGAAGTCATTTTATTGTTTTAAAATCTGCATAAACTCATAATGATGTGCCATCACTTTTTTAAAAAAAGGATTCTCCTATTACTGGCCATTTGGACCCTTTCCAGATTTTTGCTTTTATAAACAATATTGTAGGGAACATCCTTAACAACAATGGCAGCAGTTGACAGCTGTCATGAATCCTGAACACTATGCTGACTACAGGGCAGGGTCCCCTTCCAAACCTTTTCATGTACGAACTCATTTAAACGTGCTTCATTGTGTAAGTGAACTGGTATTTCTACATGCTAAATGCCTGGAAGTGGGGTTGTGAGATTAGAAGCTAAGCGCGTTTAAAAGTTTGATTGCAATTCTCAACTTTTTTAAGGGGCAAGTATTTATTGGGTGTCACTTCTAAATGTTAAGCTCTGCTAGGCATTTTTTGGAATGCACAGACGCAGAGATGGGGCCCCTCCTGGAAGCTTACAAGGGTGGAAAGACAAGCTGGTACAAGTCGCCAGGTGGTTGACACAGTCTTTCCACTGGGTAAGACGGACAGATGGCACAGGCTGGGAGCTACAGACGTGCTAAGAGGGAGCTCTGTGAGGGTGGAAGGTATCAGTGGAGGCTTCAGAGAGGAGGAAAGGATGGAAGGGTGTAGAAGGAATGGGCTGGGGGAGCAATCCTGGGAAGGCACCAAGAAGAACAAGATTTGGGGCTGGGGGTGTCGTTGAAGGAGGAGACAGCGAGTTGGTGGGGTTGTAGTACTGGCAGAATCCTAGGGCATGTTGGGAAATGGCCAGCCAGGATGTCACCAAGACAAGAGTAGAATAAGACTAGGAAGGGAAGTCCACCTGTCCTCTGTCTGAATTACTTAATGTGACAAATAAAGCTAATCAATTGCTAAGATGTGTCCTGTCCTTTGCCTGGATATAGAAATCTTCCTGATAAACTGTAACAAGTGTCAATTTCAACAAGTGGAGCAGATCAGAGCAATACAGAAAAAACACAAAACAAAAAAAAAAAAAAATGAAAAAGGGCTTGTGCTCATCGGGTATTTTCTCCCTAGTCACTTTCATTTGTTTTCTTCTTTTGTCAATGCTGAAGCAGGCTAGAGCTGGGTGGCTATCTTCAAGAGCAAGGACTCAGCCCAGGGTAGGTGTGTGGGTGCCCTAGTCACACACAGCTCAGAATCTCTGGTCTCCAGTCTGGGGTGCAGGCTGAGGCATTGAAATTGGGTGTCCTTTTCTTCCTCTCCCTCCTCACCCTTTCCCCCCCTCCCCACCAACAAAGAAAGACACACACAGGTGCTTGCCGGTGACTTTCTGTTCTGCAATGGAAATGGCCTCCTGTGTTTTTGTTTCACAAGCACAATTAAAGTCTGATTTCAGTGCTACAATAGGGAAGCGAGGGTTACGGTAAGAAACCCAGAAGTTGGATGCAAATGATTGAACCATTTTTAATTTGTTCAGTGTAATCAGGGAGGGGAAATTCTTTATTTAAATATAACTGATCATTCTGAACCGGCTATGGAAGTAACTACGGAAGACCTGTCTGCTAATGCCTTGTTGCATTTGCAAAATTTGTGCCTCCCCAAACAAGGATATTCAAAAGTTAAGTTTCTCATGGTGATGTTAATACATCCGCCTCACATTGCACAAGCCGTGCAATTCTGCATCATAAATAATGGATTTACAAGCTTAACTACTATTCAGAAATACTACATGTGTGAAATGTGGCTGAGTTAACGTCACCGTGAGGCCCTTAGCTATGGCCAAGGAGGTTTGCTGGGTCTCAGGCTGGCGCTGCATGGGGGCAGACTGGAAAAAGCCACCGGCCTGGACCTGCAACCTTGCCTAATGAGCATAAGAGACATTTTGAACTTAAGGATCTCGAGCACCAAAGCCACAAATCACAGGGAAAATGAAATCAAGCATTAAGGTTCCCCCCAGATTATTATTGACTGGAACGTTCTGGAAATTGCAGGATCTTTCTAAGTGCTGACAGGGGCCTCTGTGAGGTTGGGTGGTATAGTGGTGGTTGTTTTCACTGCTGCTATTTCTCCCTTTCCAGACCCCTCTCCCCACAGGCATGGTCTGGAGAGCTGGGTTCACCTTGATTTTCCCAGAGCTGGAGGCAATCCTCAGGGGAGCAGTGTGGTAGCAGGTGACTTATGTGGATGGGGGCAGGATTTCACTCAAGTCCAAAAAGGCCCTGGGCTACATTACACATGTCCTAATAGATCCACAGAGAGGAAGTTGAGTGAAAATCGGCTACAGGGGTAGCAAAGGAGGGAAGATTCGAGGGAAGATTCGAGATAGTCATGTGCCTGTGCATACGTGTGTGTGTGTGTGTGTGTTGCTGTAACTATGAGAGGGAAGATAGAGGGTGGGACTTACAGATCCTGATATACTGCACTTGCCCCATCCATGGGGCTGTACACAGGCTGCAAAAATGTGGCTCAAACCTGACCCTAGTTTCTCGAGCCCTGTTGACAGCTCTGTCACCTTACATTCCTCTTTCTCTGGAACTGCCTGGGGTGCTGGCATGGGGCACCCAGGCTGTCTGACAGGAGAAGCAAGCATTTCAAGGACAGTGTGGTTGGTTTCACTTTCCTTCAGTCGGAGGAACTGGAATCAGTGGACTGGCAAGTTGTTATCATGTCCATTTTGTGTATTCTGCTGGGCCGGGGGCTGTGGAGGACACTAAAGAAGCAGAACACTGGCCTCCTCTGGAAGACTCCCAGCCTTTGCTCATATGACCACAGGTTCATGCATATTCTAAAAAGTAGCCCAGGAGACTACTGGTGCCTGGTTCCTCAGTGAAGAAAATGCTGCAAGCTGTATCGAGGATGGAGACTTTAGCAGGAGTGTTTATAGTCAGGGAAGACTCCTTGAGAGAGGCAGCCCCGAGCTGCTTTTCAAAAGAGATAGGATTTGGCCACAGAGAGAAGTGGGGATTGCTCATGGGGGAAGTCACTTCTAAGCCCTGATGATCTCTATCCCTATGGGAAGTGGGGCTACCAGCAATGTTGGTTTGATATCCTATTCCAGTGTGTGAATGCTGGTCAGCTGAAGACAAAACTGTCACTTTGTTCTCCTCCCTGCTGGTCCTGCTCACAGGTGTCCCCAGAAGTTTATAACCAACATTATATGTCCAGAGGTACGCAGGAAGCCAACTTCACCACTGAAGCAGAGAACCTAGTCACCTGTCGGATCAGAAAACATCAAGAAGTGTCTGCTTGGCTGTGTCCTTTGAGACTCTTCCTCACCCTGCTCCCCAGAGGGGAGCGCAACTAGGAACCTGCCTCCCTGTGGATGTGCGGGTGAGTCACCAGGAGGAGGGAGCCACCCTGGCTGACATTGCTGGGACTGGTTGAGTGGTTTGCCCTTGTGGACCGTTTCCCCCCTCTGGCAGCTGGGTGCCAGGGAGAGTCACTTCCTCTCTTTGGACTCAGTTTCTGAATCTTCAGACTCAGTGGGTTGCAGATGGCTATGGAGGTTCCTTCCAGGCCAGACCTCTCCTGTCCCTAAAGGCAGGTGGGGACAGGTTGTGAGGCAGTGAAGCAGAAAGGAATCAAGAGGAATTCCCCAGCAGAGGCTCTCAGGAACCACACAGTTCCCCATTCTGGTGCCACCTGCTCAGAGGGTGTGGGAGAGAACAGCACTGGCCTCGAAGGCTGCATGGATGGGTAAGCTGGCCCCTCCACGTGTCCTTCAGCTTCTTGGGGTCTCTATCTGGAGAAGTGGGGAGCTCTGACTTAGGCCTCTCTTGACTTACCAGGAAAAGCTGAGTCTCGCTTTGGGCAGACAGCTGCCTCTGGGGACTGTGGGACTCTTGCTCCGACATGTTCTCGCATGACTGCAGCAAGGACAGCGTGACTGTGGTCAGGATCTGCAGGCCAGTGGACACAGATACAGGAAGTGTCCAGGTGGCCTCCATGTGGACTCCTGAGTGTGAATCAAACACACACTGCTACCCACGATGCATGAAGTTTGCCAGCTGAGGCCGGAAGAACCTGGCTGTGCTGATGCCGGCGGGTCCTTGAAAATCACTCAGCCCATCTCCTCCCTTGACAGATGAGAAGAACAAGGCCCAAGGGACAGACAGACATCTTGTTCAGGGTTGCAAGGCCAGTTGAGGACCCAGGTGCAGTTGACTCCAAGTTCCTGACTTCTCTTCCACCAAGTTGAAAGGCTGAGGCAGCAGGTGGCTTGGCCCATCAGAAGGAAAGGCCCAGTGGCTCTAGGACAAAGGTCATTCTCCATAGTGGGGAAGGAAGAGCACAGGTTGGGGCTGTAAGTGGGGCACGTGCTCTCTGCTCTGGGCAGGGCCAGAGGAAGTTGTGGAAGGGCAGCCAACCAAGAAGCAGGTCTTGAAGCATTTTTACACGCCTAGCTCTGAGCAAGGCATAGAGGAGCTCTGAGGTACACCCTTATGCTGCAAGTTCACTGCAGCTAACCGGGCGAATTTAACTCATGAATAAATGGCCAAAGCAAACCTACTGTTTGTGTAATAAAATGTAAGAACATATATTTTCTTAAAGAAAATTTGGAAGAATATGAAAAGCAAATAAAGTGTTAACTGAGCAGTCATGTGGCAAGGAATGAGAGTTGGTCCTTTGTACCTTTTATGACAAAATTATTAGAGCCACGTGAATGTATTATTTTTGAAATATTACATATAAGCAAAAACTAAAAACCCACATCACTTAATGCTAAAGTGAGTGATCAGTGGCCAAAGGAATTTAGGAAATGCAGGGTTCAGGGAATCTTTCCAGCCCCTGAAAATGTTGGAAATGGGTCCCACTCAATGTTGGCATGTCTTGTACAACACATGGACCTTCCAGTGACCCTCACGAGATCATTCCTAGATCCCATGACTTGCACAGACAGTCTTGACTTAGGGGTCACATTGCACTGAGAAGTCAGTTCCTGTCCTCAACAGTCTGAGTTTTCCAAGCGCACTCTTGACTGAATACCAAGGAATTTCTAGTAGTCCTAGGGAAAAATAAGTTGCTAAGGGGGTTGGAAGAAAGTTCAACTTAGGGAGAATGGCAGTGTTAAGATGGCTTTTGAAATAATCTCAAAAAAGGAGTCCTCTTTAACCATCAGAGGGCAGGAATGCCAGGTGGAGAGAACATGAATAGAGACCTAGGTTCTGGCATGTTCAGGGCATTGTCAGGATTGGAGGGAGATCAGGTATAATAGTGGGATGAAGATCTGGGTGAGACTATGTTGTGAATTGTATTGAATGTCACAATAAAGTATTTCTTTCTCGATTCCACAGAAAATGGAGAACCATAAACACTCCTGGGCATGTGCTCGAGTTATCTTCTAGAGATTCACTAGTGAATGAGCCCTCTCCTTCACCCGAGAATCCATGAGGAAAGGCTTCCTGGAAACAGGAGGAATTGAGCTGGTGCTTCAAGGATTGGAATTCAGAAGGCATTCTGGGTGGAAGGAAGATAGTGAGTCTGCCTGAGATTAATTGTGGTATATCAGTTTATTCTTTATTAGTTAATGATTTTTGCAACTTACCTAAAAGATCTTTGTTGAGTTAAAATTACTCTATATTGTTTATTATCTGATTCTAGTTTTTATGTTTAGTCTGTGATCCATTTTTCTTGAATAAGTAGAAAAGTAAGTATTGAAATTATTTTAAATTTGCTTATTTTAAAAATTATTATTCGGGTTGGGGTTGTGGCTCAGAAGGAGAGAACTCGCCTAGCAAGTGCGGGGCCCTGCGTTTGATCCTCAGCACCACATAAAAATAAATAAATAAAATAAAAATATTGTGTCCAACTACAACTAAAAAATAAATATTTTAAAATAAAATAAAATAATTATTCATATAGATATCCAGCTAGTCTAGCATCATTTGTTAGAAAAACTTTCCTTTTCAACAAAAGTTGAAATCAATTGACCATATATGCATTCATAGATTTATAGATTCTCTGCCTGGTTCTATTGATCTATTTGTCTGTTTTTTTAAACATCAATATCACACTATAACTTCATGGTAAGGTTTGAAATCATGTAGTATATGAATCTTCCAAATTTGTCATTCTTTTTGAAATAATGTTTGATATTTTGTGCCCATATAATTTTTAGACTCATCTTGTGAATTTTTCAAAAAGGCCTTTTGGAATTTTGATTGGAATGGCATTGAATCTGTAGATTTATTTAGAGAGAATATACATTTAACCACATTTTGTTTTCTAATTCATGAACATGGTATATCTCTCCACTTGTTTTCCTCTACAGTTTTTTTCCCCCAGGGCTAGGGATCAAACTCAGGGCCTTGGGTATACTAGGCAAGGGCTGTGCCATTGAGATATACCTCCAGTCCCTCTCTGTACATTTTAAAAAAGGCTCTGGATGTTTTTCAGTACATTTATTTCTAAGTATTTAAACTTGTTTTTTTTATGATATTGTAAATTGGATTTAAGGAACTATTTTCTAGATGTTCACTGGAACTATATAGAATTAAATTCAATTCCTTTTTGTATATTGGCCTTGCTAAATTTATTCCATAGGGGTTTCTACATATGCAATCACATGTCTGTAAATAACAATGATTTTGCTTATTTTAAAGTATTGATGTGTTATATTTATTTTTTTTCACTATCGTACAGTCCAGAACTTCTAATTATAATACTGAATAGAAGTGATGAGAGGAGGATATCTTTGCCTTGAACTTTACCTCAAGAGGAATGGTTTAAAGTTTTGTCATAAAATTTGATATCAGTACTAGTTTTCTTATAGATTTCCTTTATTAAAGATGTTCTTTTTCTTTCTAGTTTACTGAGAGATTTTTTTCTCCATGAATGAATGTTGGATTTTGTCAACTATTTTTTCAGTATTGGGTGGGATAATTATGTAACATTTTTCCTTTAATTACATTGAATGATTTTTCAAACATTAAATCAATCTTGCCTTCCTGATATATGCTTAACTTGGTATCTATCTATCTATCTATCTATCAATCAATCAATCATCTATCTATCTAATTTATTGCTAAATTGCTTGGCTATTATTTGGCTAGGATTTTCACATCTGTGTTTATAAAGGATGTTTATTTGTAATTTTTTTTTTGTAATGTCATTGTCAGATTTTAGTATCAGTGTCTATTACAACAAATAGGGAAATATTTTCCCTCCTCTAAGATTTGATATAAGATGGGTATTATATCCTCCTTAAATTTTCACATAATTCATTGGTGAAGCTATCTGGGCCGCAAGATTTCTCTATTAGGAGGTACTTTATTTTGAGTTTGGTTTCTTAATAAACATAGGACAGTTTAGACTTTCTATTTCTTGTTTGAGTTGTGGTAAGTTTCACTTCTCAAGGAATTTTTCTATTTTATACAAGTTGTTGATATTTTGGCATCCATTTGTTTATAATATACTCGTTATTCTTTTAATATATTTAGGATTTGCATTGACTTATATTTCCTTTTTCATTCCTATTTTTGGTAAATTTCATTTTTCCTCTTTGAACAGTTTTGCCAAAGATTCATTAGTTTTATTGATTTTTTTTCAAATATTTAAATTTTAACTCTTTTGATTTTTGTTTTGTTTATTTTCTGTTTGGCTATTTCTGTTATTGAATTTTATTATTTTCTTTCTTTATATAACATTGGGTTGAGTTTGTGATTTTCCTTGCTTCTTATATTGGAAGTTTAGGTCTTTGATTTCTTTCTTTTCTTTTCAAATATAGGCTTTCAAAGCTCTAAATTTCCCTCTCAGTGTAGTTTCATCTGCATTTCACAAATTTCATTAAGTTGTGCTTTTTTTATTCTTTAGCTAGAGATATTTTCTAATTTTCCTTGTGATTTTGTTTTCAATTTATGGATTATTTAGAAGGGGTTATTTAAGTTTTAAATATTTCAAGATTTTCTAGGTCTTATTTTATATTTGACAAATAATTTAATTCTATTGTGATCAAAATATATTAGTTTGAATCTTCTACACATTTTTTTTTTCAATTTTGTTTTATGTTTCAGCATGAACTCTCTCTTGGTGAATGTCTTAGATTCAACTTATATTAATGATGATTTGAAGGCTTGGGTATAGTGTTTTATAAATGCCAGTTATGTCAAATGATTAAAAGTGTTGTTCAACTCTTTTATAAATGTACTGATTTTTTTGTCTATTTGCTATATCAATTGTGGGGAGGTGGTGTTGAAATCTTCAAGTAGGAATGTAAATTTCTCTCTTTTTACCTTTAGTTTTATCAGTTTCTTCCTTGTGAGTTCTGAAATCCTGTTACAATTATACACACTTTTTAGAGTTGTTAGGTCTTCCTGAGGAATTGACCCTTTTGTAATTATGAAATATTCACCTTGTTTCTGGTGATATTTTTGTCTTGAAGTCTATTTCATCTGATTGTAATACAGGTTATGCTTAGAGTTTGCTTAAAATTTTTTTCCTAAGCTTTTCCTTTCAATCTTTATACTTGATTATATATTTTTAAATAGCATATAGGTGAGTTTTACTTATTATTCCAGTCCAACAATTTCTGCCTTCCAGTTGATGTGTTTAATCTATTTACATTTAGTATAATTATATCTATGGCTGAGTTTAAATTTACTATTTGTTATATTTGTTCTTTTTACCTTTCTTTCTTTTTTTTTCTGTACTCTTTTTGGGATAAATCAAGCATTTCTTAGTATTCTATTTTGACTTCTCTATTGACTTTGAAGTGGACTTTTTGTGTTATTTTTATAGTGTTTGCTCTGTGCAAATTAAGTGATCACAGTCTACCTTCAAATACTATTTTGTAACAATGTAAAAATCATCTCAATGTAATCCTATTTACCTGACTCTGGCCATTTATGCTGTAGTTTTCATATATTTTAGTTCTATTTATGCTATAACCCCAAATATATTATTTTTACTTTTAACAGCATTTTCTTTGGAAATACACAAGTGTTTGTGTGTGTGTGTGTGTGTGTGTGTGTGTAGGAGGGACAGGGAGATATTTAAATTTCCTTGTGTTCATCTAGTTGAATTCACTGAGCTTCTTGGGTTTATGAGTTGATTTTAAAAGGTACTTGGCTATTATTCCGTTAATATATATATATATATATATATATATATATATATATATATACACACACACACACACACACACACACACACACACACACATATTTGCTCTGTTGGTTATCATCTTTCTCAGATTCATTTTGTCACTGGCTTCTTAAATTTGAAAGCTTTCCTTCTGGCAGAGTTTGAGACCTGGATACTTATGAGATTCTAGAAAATCTATGTGCTCTAGAGCTTGGCAGCCTGTCTGTTCCTCTCCCTGTATTCTTCTTGCTCTGTGGTTTTGCCTCCAGATTTCTAAGTCTGGAGAGTTCTCCCTCCATCCAGAGGTCCTACCTGCATCTTCTGGAGGATGCAGGATGGAAGGCTGGTGCTCTGCACCTGGCAGAGGCTGAGTGTGTCTTGGAGGGATTTCTCTACATCTCCTGCTCCACTCTCAGCTTCAGCCTTGCACTTGGGGAAGATCCTGGGCATCCCAAGTTGATCTGTCTCAGCTCCTTACCCTGCCCCCATCCTCAGTGTAGTATCCCTGAGCACTAGATGAGAAGAGTGGGAGATGGTGTAGGGTTCTGCCTGAGGTACCTCAGGGTCCTAATCTGTTAGGCAAAGGCACTTGCTGCTATAATCCTGTTAAAGAGCTGGGTTTCTCCTTACCCCTCCCCACAATGGCAGGTTGGTCTTTCTCTGCTCCTTCTCCAGTGATGAACCAGTGATGAAAACACTCTGATCCTTCTCCCCAGGAAGGGACCATCACTTTTTGAAATTTACCTCATTCTCAACAAATCCATTGTGATGTTTGGCTTATCTGACTCCTTCTCATGGCAACAGTGAGAGCAACTGTCCCTTGATATCCTCTGCATCCTAACTGCAAATGGAAATCTGTTCTTATCTGTATTGGTTTTCTCTCTCCAGGTCCTAGATGTCTGTCCATGCAGCTAGGATAGGGACAGACTTGAGTGAGTCCAGCTCAAAATCCCCATTCCTGCCCATGCTAGAGCCTTCCTGTTGAATAAAGATCATGATTTCTGACTCCTTCTCTTAGAAGGAGTGTCCCCCAAGTGGCTCTTCAGAACCCACTGACTATGTTTCTGTTGGGCTCTCTCTAGCACTATCCCAGAGATGCCCAAATCTCACTGCTTAAGGCCTGGCACCCTGTTTACCCTCATCAATACCCTCGTTTCTCATTATGGTGAGGGGAACTTAGAGAGGGGTGATAGCTTAACAATACTTTTAGGTTGGAGACACTGAGGCCTCTAGAAACAGGAGAGGTTGCAGGGTGGATGTGAGGGTAGGAGATGCCCATCTACTAACAATCACTCCTTTGAGCCACCCATTTTCCTAGTTAATCCTTGTGTTAACCCCCTGAGGCAAATATTCTCATTTAGTCGGGAGGCTGAGGCAGGAGGGTCCTAAGTTCAAAACCAGCTCCAGCAAAAGTGAGGC